GTACGTATCAGATCCAGATTCCGCGTCTGCCGGCATAGTTGGAAAAAGGATTTTTTAAAAGCAGAAAATCAATATTTTAATAATCCCTGGATATTTTCACTCGACTGATAAAGCAATCATCCATGTTGTTGCTAGTTAATACCCTAGCGATGGGAAACGTTTGTCTTCACATGGAGCAGGTTCAGCTTCAATTTAGACATATATATCGGGATTTAAATGTCGGTAGTTTCTTACATATATAACCGTGTAATGGTGTACGATAAACTGGCATTTGTCCACACAATAACATCAGACTGTTTAGTCACGTTTCAGTTTGTGTCAAGGAAATTTTCATATTGATATGTATGTAAATACGTTATTTGTTACATGGGGCACATCGTGACACTCTAAAGCAAGTGTGCATGTATCATTGTCGTACAAAATGCATGTTCCCAAACTCCGTGCAATAACATACATGCTGCCCTCATAACACTGGCATCGATTCAAACCTGGAGTAATTTATCAATGATATTTTTTTTCATTTCCTGTCAATTGATGAATTACCTCATCCTCGTGAGTATAGAAATGGTAAATAATGATTATTACTGTGAGTAATAGCCTTTAATAACACGTGCCAATGGTTTCCTTGGGAGCGTTCGCAGAAAATGCTGTCACGTCATGGCGGATGTTATATTCAGCCGCATTCATTATCCTTCATTAAGTTTAACCTTGAAATACAATTTTCTCCATTTAAACAATTCTTAGTGATATAGATGTGTTGATGAAAGATCAGATATGATATCCTTATGAAATACCTGGTACATACTGAGAAAAATATTACAATTAACATGAATGAACAATTAATTATTCCCGCAACAAATAGTATTTTATTACTACCAACCATTAACTATGCATTGGATCACAAAGTTACATACTTTAAGGTATTACATGACCAATTCTCCCCGACATCAATCTTAGACAATAACAGAATGATTAGGAACATGCATCTATGGGTTTTGAATCAAATAATCAAATATTATGTAAAAGGGAAACTTGTTTCGCTTGTGCTAATATCAGTATTAAACAAATATTCAAACAGACATAAAAATATGTTAAAAGAGAATGTTAACACCACTATTAAAATAAAGCCCTTAAAATTATTCCGTAAATCTCAGTAATGGGGAAAAAATCAATTAAAAACTCGTTTCTGTGCTATGTGCTACTTTAGGCAATTGCTCTTTAACGTCTAATTGTTGACGTAGATGATAGTTTTATGGAAATGACGGTGTAACTTCAAAGCGCGAAGCGGCACATTTCCAAATCAATAAGTCTGTCAGATGAAATTCATTACGATAATAATGACACGTTATCATACATATTAGGTACTATCATTTTAGAAAGTATTGTCAAAGTATGAAATTGATTATGCAAATGATGCGGAGTTGTAGTTTGTGTCGATGCGACAAGGAGACAAAATGGCTGACTAAATCACGTGACCTGTAAAGAGCTGTTCTGTGTTGTGTTAATTGGGACACGCATATATGTCGTGTCGAACTTCAAATGTCAAGGCAGATGGTTCTCATTGGAACTAGCAATCATCTTCACGTCAGTGACAGTCTCCAAATTTCCACAGATTCCCTTACAGATCACATTAGGTGCAATATGCACGCATTCTTCCCGTTAGTGGTGATAGTGATTGGTTTGCGATTACATGGAAAGAATTATTGTTAAAGCACAAACATTTTAGAATCGGAGCGCATTTATAAAATTAATTACTTTACACGTCACCTACTCTGTGTTAAACAGAACTCGCAATGGTATTTTCTGGAATCGCATAAACCGGATTTCAGACCCGATATTGTGAAGCGATGGGCGCCGTTATATCGGAATGTACAGTGAGATTGTCAGCCATGAATAGATAACCGGAAGCATTACAAAAGGTTTTTTGAAACCGAAAACATTTTATACCTTTAACTTTAAATCGAATTTCTATCCGGTGTAGGAAAACAATCACTAAAACATGACATAGATCTGAATGTTGAATACGGACACGTGATGGTGAATTTCTAAGTGCAACACATTTACGTACAATGCTTTTACATTAAGCCATTCTCTCACGATCAGTCATTCAAGCCTAAGCAATATATACATGGGGTTACCTACAAATGAGTATCATTAGTAATAGAACATAATACTACCTTCCCACCGAATAACCATAACTGCCTCTCCGGTGCGCCTATTAAATTTGGATAATCTGGACCCTTGTGGCATGTGTCGTGTCCTTTCATATAAAATCATTTATATATATGTGATATACGAGCAAATCCCAGCCTAACGAATGCATTCAGATGCACGGTGATAGAACCTGGATGGCATCAAAGAAACAGGTTGTACATTTCAGGGCATGATTTGTAGCTATTGAACCAACTGTTAAAAAAAGACAAAAATGTTATACCTAAACATGACTGGTACGTAGGCACATGTCATGCTTCAGCGCAAAGGAGTACCCAGTCCTGGTTATCCACAGAAGCCGATTCCATTTGGTGTGAAGGGCAACATGCATAGGTTGGTGAGTGAGTGAGTGTGGTTTTACGCAGCTTTTAGCAATATTCCAGTAATAGCACGGCGGGGGACCCAAGAAATGCGCTACGCACAGTGCACCCATGTGGGGAATCGAACCCAGGTCTTTGGCGTGACGAGCGAACGCTTTAACCACAAGGCTACCCCGCCGTCCCTCAGTAACCACATCATACGAATTACACTCACTCTCTATCATTCTTTCTCACTCTCTCTCTCTCCGAGGAAAGTCACGTAGAAATATTACATACGTTTATGCTGTAAAAAAAAAGAAAACAGTTGTCTTGCGTGAAATTATTTTGGGCAAGGAAAGTAATTACCTGGCAAAGTGGTTTAAGTGGTTAGAGCAGTCAGTATTTGTGAAATAAACAGTATTACATAACCCGGGCAATTTTCCCAATGAAGTGGGCTGAAGTACAGGCGGCGGTAACGAGAAGAGATGAAAGGAACACACGTGAGTGTGATGGACGAACTCTAGTCTGAAGTGCCAACAAGCTCTCATTGACCAGCCGTGGTAGTCAGAGTGACCTGTCATTTCGCACATTGACATGGAAACTTAGCCCTTATTGCTTTCCGGTGGCAGATAATGAACGTCTTCATATCACCGACGTCATCTTCAGATTGCGCATGTCTGTATCTACAAGCCTCTCTTTCAATCAACATGATGGCGCGCCAACTGAAGTCACATGGTGCCTGAGACTATCCGGGTTGATAGAGACCACGTTGTAACGGTGCGCGGAGTTCAGAAACTGTAATAGATTGTGAATGGTTATGAGCGATAAATCATAGGACTGGTTATGGTTAAGTAGCTTAACCACCAAGACTTAACAGAGAGTCTGGATAGTGGAAGTAGAGTTATGATTGTGTGATTGAATTAACGCGTACGGGTTCATCACGAATGAAATATTTCAGATGTTTCAATCGGCCACGTGTCCTGAATAATGAATATAAGCAGTCTCGGGACCATCCAGATGTCGATTTGATGATCTTATGATCCGCGGGAATTTCGGGTTCCAAGAAGTGGTTCCTAATAGACCGTTCTGGTCGCCAGATCCAAGCAAGAGGATCCGTTGCCCAGGCTCGTTAACATGGCTGAGGTAGTGTCATCATGGACCTATGGCGAGGGTCGATGCTTGTGATTTCAGTTCCTGGTCTTCCTGGTCCAAGTTCACTTATTTAGAAGCCCTGCATAGCTTGAAGGTTGTTTCAGCCTTAAACAATATACATCCCGTTACTATAATCCTGACTCACTTGCACAATGCAAAATATATTTCAAGCCCCTTTCCATGGCATATTGCGCGTTTTGGGGCCATATTGCGATATTGATATAAATTCACTTCCGTGTCTCCGACGTTATTTTGCCATTCACGACCTCATCGGTATATAATTGAGACTGATTATTCTCGGGCGTTGACGGTTTATATTTCAGACCTCGTTGGTGTATTTTTCAAAACCGCTTTGAAAAGACTGGAGCTTGGCGAACACGAATACTTCAAATGTTTTTTTGGTTTGAAATATGACCGGAACATTCCTAAGTGCCGATATGCTTCAGTCTCATCCCAATAAATATGAAGCAATTTCTTTCGACACTCATACGCGTACCTTGTGTCCTGCTTTATCGCACAGTGCTGGGCCATTGTCATAGTGTCTATGTGTTCAAGTCACAAATACGTTAACCATCTCCTCGTGAACAAATATCTATAACAGAAATCGATAAGCCGGTATTCATAAATACATGGGTATAACTCGAAGCTTTTAGAACATGACTCACTTCTAAAGTACATGGCGGTATGCAAAAAGGATACGTGTAATTACTTAATTCGTCCATGTAACTATGTCAGTAGAATATATCAGAGCTATGCATGAATATATTGGTATGTATATTCGTCTCAAGATCCAAGATAGGTATTCGTAAATTGCAAATAAATGCGGCGTAAAAATTAGTCATATGAGCCACATGTGAGCGAACGTTCATAGTTTTGTCATTGCATTATGCTAACACATGTATTCTTGTTTACTCTGGAACGTGAACAGTATAAAGAAACGGGCACTGAAGAATACACAGTCAATGGCGAAAGAGGCGCTTTAACATACAGCATACCTGTAGAAGGCAAGCTGGCGTTGTGAGCCCCATTGATTAAGAACCGTTGGTATTTCACGTCTATACTGTCCTTTATTTAAGTTTATTTGAACTATGCACAATACCTAAACCGAAGCCGCTTGCCATTAAGCACAACGTTGTTTGTTAACGATCCACGTACATCCGAAAATGAATAAAAAATCAATCCCTTGCCAGATTTATTAATATCGATTATTGTTCCATTGGTGTCTGTTTTTACATTACGTACGCAATTCAGATGTGGTCGTATTAAGACATATCTTCCGTGCAAGGAAGACGTACCTATAAAGAAAACAGGATGGCTACGATATGAAAACTTTCTTACCTTAATAAATCAAATATGTTCCATCAGCAAGGGTAGTTTCCAACTGTTTAATTAGAGAATCCATTACATCTTCGTCTGGGGAATATTGGTAATAATATCCTCAAGAATATTGCCAAACACTGATTTAACCTAATGACACTGCTGGTTGGCTGGTCTGTATTGACGAAAACATGTAAATTCCTCTGGCTGAAAACAAAACACCCCTTCCACCTCCGTAAGACAGCAGATGAACACGTTTCTATTCCCTGATTGGGTGGCTCTTGTCGCTAATTCCCCTTGGTTCCTCTGAGTGTTCGCGCCCCAGTGAATCCTATGTTACCAAATATATCCTATCCGACAAGCAGTGGCAGATAGGGGATATCACAACCTATTAGAAATGCCAGAGTATGGTGCGGCTACGTACTGCAGAACCCCGGACAGTTTGGACTGGTGTCTCTTCGCACCGCCTCCAACTGTGGACGACACGATACTTTACAGACAGTGAACACCACTGTTTGATTTCATTATGGGGGCACTTTCGGATTATATAGACGACAGTCAACTGTCAATTTATGGCAAGACTTCATAGCTGACATGAAAATAGCTTCTTCTTTATTTCTCCCCTTTTAGTTAATTAGCCGATGTAGTTATCTATTATCTTTATGGGGATAAATGGAAATGCAAGGAGGACTCAATGAAGTGTCATCACGTTTGATATTGCCTGTAGACTTGAGCGGATGGATTGCCTAATGACCAGTGTCTAGCTGCCCTCGAGACATTACCTGTACTTAGTTAATGTAGGATGTGGTAATTACAAATACCCTGGCCGTTCAGTACCTGTTCCATTGCCCGGAGACGCTTACAAACAACTGATCTTAATAATTATTTTTATCAGAAGTATTTGCTCTGAAGACACAAATTAGTTAAAACCAACTATCCGGGCGTTGTTCCGAATTAAAACGACGGAACATTTTGTTTCGCCGCTTGTCCGACTGTATTCGGGTGCCAAATTTTCTGATGAACCATGCCAATTACGTGTAGGAAATATTTTTCAAATTAATTTGGATATTTCAGATTAACGGGATTTAAATTTTGATGCCGAATAGTCCTTTGGGTATTTGGATATATTTGTGAATCCGCAATTCACATATGAAAAAATATGTAATGATGATTATATAACTATTAATTTATTATAATTTTCAAATTTTTGTTTAACATTTACCGACTTAGATAATGCCGATATTCACTTTATGTAATATATAACTGTATCTGCTGTGTTCCCTCTGTTCGTGTCAGGACAAAGTCAGAACTTTAACTCTTGTTCAAAGTACAATTGACTATTGATTTATGAAGTGGTAATTTAAACTGGGTTTTCACGTAGAACGAAACTATAATGGATTTCAACTTCAAGGTACATTGAAGCATTCTCTTAGCTTTGATATCGATACTATTTAAAACATATCTAATGTTCTAATGTTTTTACAGATTAAATAAAAAAGTGCTTTCACTTTTTTGGTTTTTGAAGACGTTACGAAATTGAGTCACATGTTCGGAGTTACTCAGCACAAGTGATAGAGCATGGTGCTTTACGAACTTGGGGCAACATCACACCAGCGGAACTAACACAATGTTGAACCCATTCACCTGGTGAAAAACATAACACGACCTGTTCGGCTTTCATTCGACAGTCGTTACAGAGCAAATCATCAATGAACTTTACAACGAAATATGTTTTTTTATGCATTTCACATGTCTGATTAAACTTTGCATGAAATCATTTAATATATTTTATGATATCTTTCACCCATATGACACGGCTAGCTTGTATGGATGGCATCGACATCTTATCGTATGTGATGTGGTATCTCTATCTCGTTTGGTACATCTGTTCCGCATGGCCCCTTTATGAGGTAAGGTATGCTAATCTGATATGGTATCTTAATTTGGTATGGTATTATTACATCGTATGATATCTTTGTCTTCCTTGGCATCTCTATATCGTATGGTATTTTTGTCGTATTTGGTGTCTTTATCTTGTCTGGTATCTTTAAATGTATGATATCTCTGTCTTGTGTAGCATCTTTAAATGGTATGGAATCTTCAAACTGTATGGTCTTTTTATATCTGGCTTCTATGGCATTATTGTATGGTATCTCTATCTTGTATGGATTCTTAAAATTGTATGGTATGTCTATTGTGTATGGATTCTTAAAATTGTATGGTATGTCTATTGTGTATGAATTCTTAAAATTGTATGGTATGTCTATTGTGTATGAATTCTTAAAATTGTATGGTATGTCTATTGTGTATGGATTCTTAAAATTGTATGGTATGTCTATTGTGTATGGATTCTTAAAATTGTATGGTATCTTTATCTTGTAAGGTATCTCGGGCTTCTATGGTATCTTTGTACTATATGCTACATATGGTATGGTATCTTTAAATTGTATGGTATGTCTATTGTGTATGAATTCTTAAAATTGTATGGTATCTTTATCTTGTAAGGTATCTCGGGCTTCTATGGTATCTTTGTACTATATGCTACATATGGTATGGTATCTTTAAATTGTATGGTATGTCTATTGTGTATGAATTCTTAAAATTGTATGGTATCTTTATCTTGTAAGGTATCTCGGGCTTCTATGGTATCTTTGTACTATATGCTACATATGGTATGGTATCTTTAAATTGTATGGTATGTCTATTGTGTATGGATTCTTAAAATTGTATGGTATCTTTATCTTGTAAGGTATCTCGGGCTTCTATGGTATCTTTGTACTATATGCTTCATATGGTATGGTATCTTTAAATTGTATGGTATGTCTATTGTGTATGGATTCTTAAAATTGTATGGTATCTTTATCTTGTAAGGTATCTCGGGCTTCTATGGTATCTTTGTACTATATGCTTCATATGGTATGGTATCTTTAAATTGTATGGTATGTCTATTGTGTATGGATTCTTAAAATTGTATGGTATCTTTATCTTGTAAGGTATCTCGGGCTTCTATGGTATCTTTGTACTATATGCTACATATGGTATGGTATCTTTAAATTGTATGGTATCTCTCTCGATCATAGTATCATTATCTTGTAGGGTGTCTTCAACTTGTGTGGTACTTCTATTTTGCATCGTGTTTTCATCTTGTATGGTTTGTTTATCGTGTATTATGTATTTATCATGTAGTATCGATAGAGCATACGACATGGGGCTACCAGAGTGTGTGAGTGTGATTTATCAATTGTTAAGTGGCATTTTGTATGATATCTCCGTCTTGTGTCTTGGTGTCTCTACCGTGTGGCGTTTGTATGTGGCATGTGGTAAGGTTTAAAGCATTGCTTCGTTGTATGGCATCGTTATTTTATATTGTATGTCATACACGAATCGTAAATGTATGCCATCTCCACGTAGAGATGGCGATAGACGGAGCAGCCGGAGACAGGGAACTGTTACCGATTCCCAACCATATAAGGTGAATCTGTACATCTACCCGCATCGAACGAATGTACACTAAGAACTCATATTTGATCAGCGAAAAGGGGCGGTGGGGTAGCCTAATGGTAAAAGCGTTGGCTCGTCACGCCGAAGACCCAGGTTCGAATCCCCACATGGGCACAATGTGTGAAGCCCATTTCTGGTGTCCCCCGCCGTGATGTTGCTGGAATATTGCTAAAAGCGGCGTAAAACCAAACTCAGTCAGTCAGTGATCAGCGAAAAGCCATAATAGCACTAAGCAATTGAGAAATCTCACTCACTCGCTCTATGCTGTGGACTACATCGGGAATGTTTATTTGGAAGTCCATCTCTATGTCGTATGCTATATCTACACTACATGATCTTGGCCCTTATTCTCCAAAAGTTAGTAGCCCTAAGAATACATAACTTTGATCGTAGCTAATGTGTTAACAGTGGGCTTAAGAAATTCGTAGGGCTACGAACGTTTCGAGTGAGTGAGTGGGTTTAGTTTTACGCCTCACACAGCCATATTCCAGCTATATGGCGGCTGTCTGTACGTAATCGAGTCTGGACCAGACAATCCAGTGATCAACAGCATGAGCATCGATCGGCGCAATTGGGAACCGATGACATGTGTCAACCAAGCCAGCGACCCCGACCACCCGATCCCGTTATAATCGCCTCTTACGACAAGCATGGGTTACTGAAGATCAATATTCTAACCCGGACCTTCACGGGTTCGAACGTTTCGAGAATAGCTAGCCTGTACACTAAACGCCAAAGGAAACGTTACCCTCCTTCCTTAATGACGGAGGTACCTATCTTCAGCTGGCGTTGTGATGCGTGGACGTCCACTTCTTGGTCTGTCTGCGGTGACCTTCTAACCGTAAGGCATCCGAAGGCTTTGGCAACAGCATTGTATGTCTGTCCCATCTGCACCATCCCAATGGCTCTTTCTCTCTCTTCTGTTGTTAATCGAGGCATATTTCCTGTACTTGTGTATCACATCATCTATTCTAGACTCTCTTCATACCCCATAGAATCATTCTACATGTGAAATGGATGCAAATACAGCTTGAATATTGCTGCGTTTTGGCGATTGATGTTGCTATGTGTAAACAGAAAATGGAAAATGTTTAGATGTTCCGAAACATTTTTTGACAATAACAAAGACACGTTTTACTTGTTTTCACTAATGCAAATCAGCAGAAAATGTTTTATAAGACTAAAATCATAGGAATGATTATTTTACAAATTTACACATTCTACAACAGTTGTTTCTTGTTTAATAGTTGACAACGATGACTTGAAATGTTTTATCTTTGTCTCAAATCAGATTTATTTCAACCTTTCTTTTGGACGTCTAAATCACTGTTATTGGTTTATTTCGACATGGCCGAAAATAGGACACTTTAACTCTTCTGAAAAAGATGCATTTCACGGATTAAGTGTGAATGCATTTGGGAATTTCTTTTCGTGATTTTCATAAAGCTGTGTTGTTAATCTTTCATGTAAACTAATAAATTATCTGTGATAGTTATGGGTAATGTTTCTTTAGGCGTTTTGTGTATGTATGTATGTGTGTGTATGTATGTATGCATGCATGCATGCATGTGTGTATGTATGTATGTATGTATGTGCATGTGTATGTATGTATGTATGTGTGTGTATGTATGTATGTATGTATGTATGTATGTATGTATGTATGTATGTATGTGTGTATGTATGTATGTATGTATGTATGTATGTATGTATGTATGTATGTATGTATGTATGTATGTATGTATGTATGTATGTATGTATGTATGTATGTATGTATTGTGTGTGTATGTATGTATGTATGTATGTATGTAT